ATGAGAGTATGGAGAAGTACAAGCTCGGGGCGGAAGACCTTAGAACTGTTATGAATATTGATCCTGGTAATAGGGTGGCAAGAAGTACCATACACCGCTTGAATAAGATGGCTGGCTAAGAGGCTTTGTCACATTAGTTTCTCCTTAGCTTTTACTAGCAAGATGATTTGAAAACTACTCTTGTCATACCAATTCTGCGGAACTATATGTAGAAATTCTTTCAACTTTTTCTGGTCCTTGGTTTGTTACCTATTGTATTTTAATCATATTGTTGTTGCCACTGTGAACTGTCATTTAATATCTTGAAAATTTCTTTGTACTGGAATCTGAAATATAGCATATTATTGTTTGATGTATTCTCATTTGTTTGGTCAACTAGCCTGAGATTAAGGCTTAGTTGAATGATTGATGTGATTGGAAGGTGTTAAGATTTGGAATTTGATGTAATTATGGTTGGAAAATATTTTAACTGTTAGCAAAGCCAAAAATGGAATAGGTCAATACAGTTGTGTAATGATGAAACCTGCTTCTTCTTTTTCTGGTCGTTGTAGCTTGGTTTAAATATCGAAAAACGCAAGCAGGTGACAGTTTATTGTTGTAATAGTTAAAATCATGTTCTGCTGAAGTTCTCGTTAGCAGAAAAAATATATATGATCCCATCTTCAGTTATTCTTATTCTTCACTATATATTGCTGTTACTTAATGCCACTCTCTTTTATTATTGAAGGTCATTAATATCTAAATCTAATCAAACTTCAGCAAACGAGCTAACGATTTTATAGAGGTAAAAAAGTTTACTACTTGTAGAACATTCTCGTATTAAACATATGAAACAACAATTCTGCACAAGTGAACTCTTTTTGTATGAGATGGTCAATAGAGTTTAGTTTAAGCCTTGTAGCTCTTCATAAAATCATACTAGTATATAAGAGTAATACAACTTTCAACTTTGTTTTGAGGGTCAGCAAGTACACAAGCGGCTACCCTTTTTGGGGAGTCCTTCTCTTTTTTGGTTTCCTACCCGATATCTAATACCTACATTGAAGTCCAACTATATCCGGATTCGCGCCGCGTAGGACTCCATCAGGGGAAGCACTCCCTACCAAAGATTTTTATCATATCCAGGATTCGAATCTGAGATCTCTAATTAAGGAAGAACAGCCTCATCCGTTGGTGGGGGAGTTAAATAGTGAACATTGGGGGAATGAAATATGATAGGCATTTTAGTTATAGAAAAGAGCAAGATTGAGAAACCTCCATCAAATGAAGACAGCACAGATGAGGGAAGCAAAGTCACGTTTTGTGAGAGAAAGATAGTTGAGTTTCTCAGCATGAAGCCATTCCTATTCCTAATAGGTGTTGGGAAGCAGTAAGCTACTTACTTTTTAGCCCTAAATTTTTACTTCCCAACAGACAGTTCTGTGCTCTTGCTGTTTGTTTGGTCACTTCTTCTGAGTGACGCCTTTTATTATTCTCAGCTTTCTGTCCTCTTTTGGCACATTCACTCTTTTCAGTTACGTTTCTTTTCTTCAGCTGATTCATCATCCCTGTTCTTCTTTCCCCTTGTGTTTGGTACCCGATTTAGAGCCCCAATTAATTTAGAGTTGCATTGTATAAAGTCCATCAAAGGGGAAAAAACCTTCCTATCAGAAATTTTTTCTATTCTCATGGCTCGAATTCGAATCCTCTGAAATATGACAAAATTCTATTCATCCCGTCACAACTATTGATGCTTGATCCTACTACTTTCGCTAAACCTAATATTTAAGTTACCATTTTAGAGAGCTCTTGAAATTTTTCGGAGACTTCATAAAACTGTCTACTTGAATTCTAAAATGCAAGCGTGAAATGTTTGAGATTTTTATTTCACATAATTAACATGGGAGTGGGTATAGGCAAAGCACATGAAATTGAACTCGTAATATTGCAATTACAATTATAAGGCTGTTGGATTTTCTCCTTATAAACATCTAACTTGATATTAATCTAACCGGTCACTATGGACCATCTTGTTTGTCTTCAATTTGAAAAAATATTTCCTTAATCTTGAATGTTCCTTAAAGCATAATAATAAATTCGATATTGATGGTTTGAATTTATTTTCTGAATTAAAAGTAGTAAGAAAAATAGTACAATTAGAAGATAACAATTTACTTGATACACTTAATCAAATAAAAAGATTTAATTTTTTCCTAAATGCCTAAATTGCTTATGGAATAATGTTCATAACTCATGTTACTGTTGCTTCAGCGGAAAGAAGTTTTCAAAATTAAAATTGATAAAATGTTACCTAAGAATAACAATGTAACAAGAAAGGTTAAATTGATTAGCTATATTGTAAATTGGGAAATACTTATTAGGAGTTATTGATTATAAGAAAATTATTAATAACTTTGTATCTAAGAAAGGCTAAAAAAAAATAGACTTCAAATAAATAATAAAAAAAATTTAAAAATTAAGGCCCCTCATAAAATTTGGCTTTAGGCCACAAAATTTATCGGCCCGCATACGCAATGGTAGTGCTATTTATGGAGGTGGAGTGGTTTGTTAAGAGAGGGAAGGGGCAAGTAAGAATGAAAGAATAATTTTAGAAGGAGAAAACATTTTGGTAGGAAGCGTTTCACTTTTTTTAGTAGGTTTATCAGCGCGAATCAAAATTAGTCGGATCAATAAATTTTATATAACTCAAATACTTAAAAGGGAAAAAGAAGAAGAAAAGAAAACAACAAGACGAAAGTATGTGTCAAAATTTGAACTATAACCACTTATAGTAACAGTAAAGTTGTATTCGTATGACCTATAGGTTATTGATTCGAGCCGTGAAAATAGTTATTAATGCTTGCATGAGTAAAGTGTCTACATCACACCCCTTGAGTGTGGCCCTTCCCTAAACCCTGCGAATGCAAGATATCTTATGCACCAGACTGCTCTTTTCTTACTTGCATTCGTATGGCGTAACTCTTTCCCCAAACTATTCAACGAACAAATATTTTATCCCCATACAGAATATAGAAGGAGATATGCTACCTAGAGGTGTACAAAGGAAACCGACAAACCGCACCAACCCGATAATCCGAGTCAAACCGAGAAAAAAAATCTAACTATGGTTTGGTGTTGGAAAAAAAAACCCGACCATAATTGGTTTGGTTTGGTTTTAACTAAAGAAAGTCAAACCGAAACCAAACCAACCCGACATTACATATATAGAAATTTTAGATATATTCAATATATAAATATACTTATTGTGATGTAATTTATAAATATTTCTTAAACTTTTTTATAATTTTATCTTTTAAAGTATTATTATTTCAAGGTTGGACTTAGAACTTTTGTTCCAATAAGTTTTATAGCTATTGATAGTAACTTAAATAATGCTAACAAAGCCCAAACCAAAATCAAATCAATACTAATGCTAACAAAAGACATTCAATTCAATACTAGGAACGACAATGTATTGAATATCTATTTTTTGTTTGGTAATGATTTAGATTAAAAAACATAACCTATTTATTTTTTCTTTAACGTTTACTCATGTAATTAATACTCCCTTATTAGTCTACTTATTATAGCATGACTTAGAACTTTTACATTATGTTTATTTTTATTATGGCTTTTTAATTAACAATATTTATATTACATAATTGTATTGTCTTTATCGTTGAATATTTTAGGATAATGTCATGACACATCTCATATTTTGTATTATTTTCTTGAAAAATACCTTATATAGTTATATCTTACTAGAATTAAAGAAATATTTTGAGCACAAGTTATATATTTTGTGCTACGAAGATTTTACCGAAAAAAAATCCGAAAAAACTCAAATAACCCGAAAACCTGAGAAAAATCGAAATTGAAAAACCCAAGTTTTATTGGTTTGGTTTGGTCTTTAGATTTAATAATCCGATACATTTGGTTTGCTTTGGTAATTGCAAAACCCAAACCAACCCGAACTATGTACGCCCATAATGCTACCCTAATAAAAAAGTTTAGGAGGTAAACTTGAATTTAACCAAAGTTAAAAGTGAGTGAATTTTTTTTGACTTCTAATAATGATAGAAGTGATGAAAGAGTTTGAAAGGAATAGAGTGTTTGAAAACAGTCCACTTGTTACGACCATGATCTCACCCTCCAATTAGATTGGCCCTCTCTCTACCGTCCGATTTTTTTTATTTTTATTTTTTAACCTCCACTTGCTGCCAAAATTCCAAATTGCTACAAATTTGTCGTTACCCTTACTGATTGGTGTAACCGCTTATTCCTATTTGAGAAATTTGCACTTCTAGTCCTTAATGATGGATAGATTTTTAGTTTGTTGCTTGAATATAATAGTAAATATATTTAGTCTTCAATTCATGGATTTTATCGTTTTTTAGATAAAATATGTCATGTTAATACTATTACTAGCCTCTAAGTTCTCTCATTAACATACAGTATAATGTATGGTTATGAGCTCTTGAGTTTGCAGTCAATATTTATTCATACGATAATACTTTTGCAACAATGAATAATTATTATTGATGTGTAATGATAGTGTTCCCGTTGAAAAAAATTATTTGTGAAATAATCATAAATATAATATCTTTGTCGATCAAAAATAACATGAGATATTAGATTGAAATGCTATAATTACTGCTTTAATATCCTTTAGTGAGTGAAATGAGTACATAAAATAGAACAATCATATACCTATTTTGGGTGACGTTAATAGTTGGAATAAGATACTAAAATATCTTTTTAATATATTTATAAAAAGTTGTCAATAGTGATGTGAAATTATGATACATGGCTAATCCAATTGGTGCTATTTCAGACTATGATGAATCAAAACATCTCAAATATTATAAGTGAAGGGACCAAAAGTGAATATTCCAAGCAATTTCAGGTTAGATGTGCTTACCTGGATTATGATGAGAGACAAAATTATATCTTAAAAAATAACTAAACGACTAAACTGCAATTGTCTTTTCCTATAAATAAACACTCACCCCCAAGCACAATTTACATCGTCTCTTTCCATTTCTTTCACTTAAAAAAAAAAAAACAAGAAAAGACATCAGAGTGACAAAAAGATGTGTGGAGGTGCCATAATCTCCGACTATGAACCCGTCGGAAACCGCTGCCGGAAAATCACTGCTCGTGACCTCTGGGCTGAGCTTGACCCTATCTCCGACTTCTGGTCTTCCTCTTCCTCCTCCATTGCCGGCAAATCTGATTCCGTTCAGTCGCCAACCCAGTCCTACAATAAGCCTCAGAAATCAGATTCCGGCAAACTTAATCAACTCGAAAAAGGTGCGATAATGTTCTTATACTTCCTCTCTCACATATATGCTTGTGTTATACTCCCTCCGTATCGTATCAATGAATGTGACATATATAGTCATGTGACTTAACACGAAATTAAAAAAAGAAAATTTGTGATCAGAAATACTACTCTATGTCATAATATTTGTTGTTATAGTACCACTTAATCTGTGCTGACTATAAAAACTTTTTAATAAATGAGGAAAATTATTAAGGAAAAACTGATAAGTCTTAAAATGGGAGGAGTGTAATGATAGTCTTATATATCTGATGATTATTCGTCAAAAGAATATATTTACCTGATGATTATTTTCTCGGGACTAACACGCGATACAGTCGTGTCCGTACGGTTTCTGTAATAAAATAAAAAAATAAACTCTATATTTGGGAACTCGAGTAAGCATTCAAATTTATAATTTATTTATCTTTTTTATTTCAAATTTTCTGCGTCTTTTCTAAAAGTTAATCCATATCTAATTTTAAGGTGATTTTTTTTTACGTTATTACCGTAAATTTTATGAAATAAAATCTAGAGAAACTGCACTAGAGTCATATAATATTTTGAAATTTTGAAACCATTTTAAAATAGTTTTAAAATGTCCAAATAGGACGAGTTTGAAAATAATATACTAATATTACTCCATATCTAGTTTTCAGATGATTTTTTACACTACTACCTTAATTTTATGAAATAAAATCTTGAGAAGCTGCACAAGTATAATATTAGCATAATTTTCTTACAACATTTTAAAATAGTTTTAAAAATATTCAAATAAGAAATCAGTGTCATAAATGGGACAGACTGAGTAATTTTTTTCTTACAGGTAATGTTATTTCGGTTTATTTTTTATTCAAAGGAATTAGAAATAAAAGATATAAATATTAGAAAAATAATTGAAAATTCATTGGGATGAAGAGGGAATAAATGCACACGCATCAAGGGAAAGACTATGGCTAGTACACGCATAAACAACACATTTTTTTCGTATTTCTATTGCATCAGGATGTATACAAGAGTTTACTCCCAGATTTCCTCTAAATGTTTAAAAAAAATCATTATTTAAATTGCTGCAAAGATGTGATTTCTTAGTTTATGTTCTTTAAACTCATATTAATACGAGTATCAGCCGGTAGTTGCGTTTATCTTATTTGAACATGCGTTCTGCTTCAGATAAAACAAGTCAGAATTACAAAAATCAAACTAATATATTTAATTTCTTGTCGTTTTCAAATCAATTAGTATCATACTCGAGCTAATCAAAACCGAACAAAAAGGAGAAGAAAAGAAATTTCAATCACAATATTTTCTATATATATATGTGTGTGTGTGTAGAGAGATAGAGATATGCTATATATACAAAAATTGTTTCTTTTTTTTGTGGCAATTAAAAAGGCTGTGACCACTTTCCTAGAGTAATTATTTCTTTGCTTTTTAATTGCTTTTATTTCTTTAATTATTTTGGAAGTTTTTAGTGCAAACTAAATGCTTATATTTATTATATTGATATATTAGTTTGAGGAAAATTGTTAGCTATTCCCTTTGTCCCAATTTTTGTGGCACCATTTGGATTTTAAGAGTCAACTTCTTAGTTTTGGCCATGAATTTGGAAATTTTTGAAAAAACGTCATAATAATTAACTTTTCAAAATATTTAAAAGGCATATGGAAAATTAGGGTCAAAGAAAAGCTCGTTTGATTCTTGAAATTTGAATGGCGCCACGTAAATTGGGACAGAGAGGGTGCTATATATTTCGTGTAATTTCTTTTAATCCAAAGTTAATTATTTAATCTGATTTAGCTCCAAATATTGACAAAAAAAATGAATGTGATAGAACTAAGTAAATAGTCTCTTTTTGCATGTATATCGCATAGGCCATTTCATGTGACAGACTTGCTTCCCAGTCCATGTCAACTAATTAATCATATGAAACCACCACTTATTGGGAGCAGAAGTTGATGAATAACTTTAGCGATGTCAAATGAATCAACATGGAATTGACTTGATTAATGCGGTTTTTGAAGATCACTCAAAATGGAACTGAAATAAAATCCAGAGTAGTCGTTGTGCTTAAATGTTTAGCAGAAACCGTAATAAAGAATAAATGTGCAGGTGGTACAAGTGTGAAGGTTGAGAAGGAGAGCCACCCAAGGCCGAGGAAGAACAAATACAGAGGAATAAGGCAGAGACCATGGGGAAAATGGGCTGCTGAGACACGTGATCCTCAGAAAGGCGTTCGCGTGTGGTTAGGTACATTCAACACGGCTGAGGAAGCTGCAAGGGCATATGACGAGGCTGCAAAACGAATCCGCGGTGACAAGGCTAAGCTCAACTTTCCGGAGCCACCAGCCAAGCGACACTGCACTAGCACCATTTTAGAGAGTTCTGACATTATGTCTGAGAATCCGGCCTCAATGATGAATTTCGGATATGAAAACCCAACACCCTACTACCCCATCGAAATGGCTGCTGCTGAGGATCCTCAACTTCATGATTATGAGCTCAAGGAACAGATTTCCAACTTGGAGTCATTCCTGGATTTAGATCCAGACTCATCTCCATTCTCAAGGGATATGTTTCTGATGGATGACTAATTTGCTGCAACTCAGCAGCAGGAGCAGCTGTTCTACTGAACAGAGTAAAAATTATCATATAAGTTGTTTGGTGTGCATTTTCTGATGATGAGTGACTGGTTAGCTTTTGGTAGTACGTATAGTACAATATAATGCAGAAACTACATACATACAATAATAAGTTGCGTGCCTTTGCATGCAATTTGTAATATTAATGTCATGTTGTCTTGTGCTGTTTATGGTTTCTAAATCTTGGATTACGCTTATGATGTTTAGTGCATGCATTTTATTTAATCTCTACTTTTGGATATTAAAAAATGTTATTGAGCATTATGTTGTGTATAAGATTATTCTGTCTCTATTAAGTAATACTCCTAGTGCTTTATAGAAAGGAGATGGAGGACATTAGAAAGTAAAATAAAATACTACTATTACTTGTCGACGAATATACATTGAACCTCTTTAGAAACATCTATTATGGAAATTGGAAATAGGAGTTGATTGGGAAGTTGATTTTGTAATGGTTTGAACGCTTTTAAACAATATTAGAGCATTTTTTAAAAGCCGCCCTAAACATTACTAGTTTATTCTGACGACATTTACAGGCAGCCTAAGATTATTCTAGCATCTACAAAAAGCATATAACTTCAACATATCTCAAGTTCATGTCTCATCTCTCTCTTGTTAAATTACTAAAAAATGTTGCAAAAGGTACAAAAGTTACAGTTAAAAATCCTATTCCCTCTTTTCCAATTATACCGTATAAGTCTAATCACATAATTTAAGAAAAAATAAAAGTAAAAATTATCTTTGTTTGCTCCAAAAAGTTTATCATAATATTTAGGGAAAATACATAAGTACCCCTGACTTATATTCAGATTCCCAACTACACACTTTTTCTTTGCAGGAATCTCATTACCCCCTAAACTTATTTTAAATGGAATTATTTGCACCCTAAAACTAGACAACCAAACTCTTGGCAAGTGGTGAGCTACACGCGCCCACACGTGTATTTTTAGTACTTTTTTTTATTCTTTCTTCTTTTTCTTATCATTTTTTCTTATTTCTTATTATTCTCATTTTTTTTTGGTTATTTCATTCTCTTTCTTTTTGTTTTGGTCACCGGCGGCATAAAATGGTAGTCGTCGAAATTTCACAAACACCATTTTTTCGGCGTTTTTTTTTTCTGGTGACAGATTTTTATCCCGATCTAAGTGTGTTTTCTTATATATATATATAATTTTTTCTTGAAAGTGTAATTTATGTGTGGGAGGAAGAGCAAAAGAAATAAAAACAAATATAAGCTGAGAAACTTTTTTCAGTTAAAATTTCAATACATCATTTTTTTCCGGCTGTAGGCATATAAATTTTATTAGAAGTAAATCCATAAAATAATTTGGACTATATTTTAAATTCAAGTTATATTAGTTCAAATAAATTTATTGGCTACTATAATTGAATTAATTATATAAGTCCAATATATATGGATTAAATAAATAAGTCTTAATCCATTGAGCTAGTCCATTTAGTTGGGCTAAAGTAATGAGCCCACTTCATTAAGTTCAAGATGACATCTTCCTAGAGGCCCAGTTTGGTGCCACGTGTCAAAATGATGTGGCGCGCCAAGTCAAGCGGAAGGGCCAATATGATCATGCCACATGTCAAAATGACAAGGCATGCCAAGTCACATTAAATGGACAATGAAATCGCGCCACGTGTGCAAGTGACCTGTTCTGGTCAATCAAATGCGGCCATATCACACTTCTATTTGATTGGTCGGAAAGAGTTTGTTCTTATCACAACTCCTCCTTTCCACAACTATAAATAGGGGTCTTCAGAACCCAGAAAAGAGACCAGAAGTTATAACAAGAAGCAAGAGAGAGCTCGTGGATCAAACACCGTAAATTTCTCTACAAGTTTCAAGCTTCAAGCAATCAAGTTCAAGTTCAAGAAATCAAGTTCAAGAACGAAGAACAAATCAAGTTCAAGCTCAAGAACGAAGAACAAATCAAGTTCAAGCTCAAGAACGAAGAACAAATCAAGTTCAAGCTCAAGAACGAAGAACAAATCAATGTTCAAGGAGTGCGAGTTCAAATCAAAGTTCGTACTAGCTGAATTCAAGATCATCGTTCGTGACAACAAACATAGATTCAAGATCAAGCTTCAAGACCCTTGAATTTATTTATAATTGAAAAGAAGAATAAGAGAATTCATAGAGATTGTACACTCAAATATTCGAAATAAAATACTACGATTGTTGCGATATTTTACGGTCTTAATTTTATTTTCTCGATGCAATTTATTGTCTACAAATTCTGGCACGCCCAATGGGACAATCTCTACCTATTATCTCAACTCTTCAATCACCAAAGTCCAAGAACATTGAAATGGCTTCAAAGAAAATCAACTCCGGTTCAACTTCACCAAGGCTGCTAACTCCAGGTTCTATGCTCATGTGGAAAGCATCCTCGATGTCACCTTCGAAAGCTTCGGACCAGTTACGAGAGCAAAGCAAGCTCTTTAGGACAACAATCACCCCAAGTGCCTTCCGCATCAACCCCTATTTTCAGATCTTCATCCTCAAAAGGAGCAAGATCTTCCACAAACGCATCTGAAGGAGGAAACGATGTTGCTGAAAAGATCAAGAAAACTCTTGCTCTGCTTGACCTCTCCGGATCCAAGCACTTTGTTGTGAAGGAAGATGATGATGCTTCAAGTGATGGATCTTCCCCACTTACACCACATAGCGTGACCCAATCAAGGATCAATCTGTGTGAAAATCCATGCTACTCTCCGTCGTCCACGACAATCATGTAAGCCATTGTGACAAACACTTCATCTATGGAGGAGCAGTTGGAAAACTTGACGAAAGCAATTGCTGGCTTGACCAAATGCATGCAAAATCAAGAGGCTAGAATTGACAAGATAACAGACAGGGTGGGAATCTTGATGGAAGAAGAATCCACCCATGCACCCGACAAGCTTCCAGAGATTCTAGAGAGTGACTCTCCCCCAAGACAAGCAACATCCACTAAGGCTATCCCTGTCTCATCTGAAGGGATGATTCCAATCGATCAATTGAAGGAGTTCATTGAAGGAACCATTATAACAAATATGAAGTTGCTTCCAAATCCTCCCTTACATATGCAAAGTCGTACACTGCAAGGGTCGATATGTTGAAAATGCCTGCTGGCTAGCAACCTCCGAAGTTTCAACAGTTTGATGGTAAAGGTAACCCAAAGCAACATGTTGCGCACTTTGTGGAGACGTGCAACAATGCTGGGACTTATAGAGATTACCTCATCAAGTAGTTTGTCCGCTCACTAAAAGAAAATGCTTTTGACTGGTACACGGACCTCGAGGCTAGATCTATCGATAGCTAGGATCAACTAGAGCAAGAGTTCCTCAATCGCTTTTATAGTACGAGACGTACTGTGAGTATGATAGAACTTACAAATGCTTGTCAACGAAAGGGGGAACCATTATCGACTTTATAAATCGGTGGAGGAATTCAAGACTCAACTGCAAAGATAAGCTTAGTGAAGCTTCGGCCATAGAGATGTGCATCCAAGGCATGCATTGGGGATTGCGCTACATCTTGCAAGGTATCAAGCCTGGCACATTTGAAGAACTTGCAACTCGTGCCCATAACATGGAATTGAGCATGGTCTCCGCTGGAAATGAAAGGCTGCCCATCTATGAACCTCGCAAAGGGAATGACAAGCAAGAAGTCAGGAAGTGGGGCAAGTTCGTACCAAGTCTGAAAGCAAAGAAGCTATAAATGTCAACACGTCACCTATGAAGTTTACGACGAAGGTGAGCAAGAAGCAGAGTATGAAATTCACTTCTTTTCACGATAAGCAAAGTGGAAAGTTGACTCTAAAAGAAATGCAAGAGAAAGAGTACCCATTTCTAGATTCCGATGTGCCATCTATCTTTGAAGAACTCCTTGAGTTAATTATCATTGAGCTTCCAGAGATGAAGTGGCCAAATGAAGCTGAGAAAACAAATGACCCAAATTACTGCAAATACCATCGACTTGTGAGCCACCCTCTGGAGAAGTGCTTTGTCTTCAAGGACAAAGTCATGGACTTGGCTCGCGAAAAGAAGATCGTTCTTGAAGATGAGAAAGCAAGCGCGAACCAAGTCTCTATCACCTTTGGCTCATTCAATCTAGATGAGTTTTGCAGTTTAAATGGAATCAAAAATGAAGAATTACTAGAGAACAACAAAGTCGAAGACGATCAACCTGATGATGATGAAGGTTGGACGTTGGTAACTCGTCGTAGGCACCACAAAAGGAGCCCACAAAAAGAATCAGTAGAACAACCAACAAGGAAGATGATGGTAAAAAGATCAATGAAAAAGAATCCAGTTAGGCATTTGAAGAAAGCAAAAGTAGAGGTGCACCATCCTCAAAAGCCACGACATCTAGTGACCTTGGAGGAGTTCTTACCAAGTTGGTTCTGCACGAAGATTTCCTATGAGGGCATCGATGCCTCTTGTTGCCATGCTAACAAAGGGGAAGAAAAGAGTGATGACCTACCGTTGGCACCAGCTTCAGAAAAGCCCATTGAGTCCACTCCTCAAGAAGTTAATGCTTGTGAGGAAAAGGTCACGTTCACAAATGACGATCTTTTTCTAGGTGACACTCCTCATCACCGCCCATTGTACTTGGTTGGCTATATGCGCGATGAAAAGGTAAATCGAATTTTGGTTGATGGAGGATCCTCAGTGAACATTTTGCCAATCCACACTGTGAAAGAACTTGGTATTCCCATGAACGAACTCTCAGAAAGTCATGTGATGATCCAAGGATTCAACCAAAGGGGCAAAGAGCCATAGGCGCAATTAGGCTGGAAATCACCATTGAAGATATGCAATCAAGTGCATTGCTACATGTGATCGATGCAAAGACTTCATATAATGTCTTGCTTAGAAGGCCTTGGATACATGAGAACAAAGTGGTTCCATCTACCTACCATCAATATTTGAAGTACTACGAGAGTGAAGTCGAGAAGAAGATAGTTGCTGATGATGAGCCATTCACCGAGGCAGAGTCACACTTTGCCAATGCAAAGTTCTACTTGAAAAACCGCATTGTGAAGGAGATAAAAGTTGATGATGGCATGAAAAGCAAGAATGACGAGCCCACAACTAAAAGAGCCTAAGTGACTACTGGTATAGTCAAAGATGTTACCGAGGAGGTACAACCCAACGCAAATAAATCTTATAGAGGGGGTATTGCATCTTATGGAAAGAAAGT